GAAGCATATTCTGGAATTTGCTTAGTTTATAAGTTTAAGCCTAAGATTTTTATCATCTAAGAGGAGCGTTATTTTGCCCTTCAACATTTTTTTTTTTCTCATTAGAGAAGTTAAAAAAAATCAAACATCATGGAAATATTTAACAAAAAAAGCAAGAGTAGTTTATAATCCCACAAGTAGGCCATTTTAAGAGGCAAACTCTGAGAGTCACCGTTACATCCAGCTTTCAAAGAATATGAAATTAAGGAGCTAAAAAATAGATGGTCCCAATAAAGAGTTTCTGATGATTCAGGAAATACACAAAGCATTTGTTAATGGGCCATCACTGTGTAACATCCTGCAGTGTAGCAGATATAAATATTTTTGAATGAAAATGTTAAAAAAAGGATTGCTTATTTTAAACAATTGGTATATTCTTCAAAGTTAGGAAAATCAGTGTTTTTGTTGTGTAATTTAAATCATGTTTTAAATGTGTTAGGGAAACTAGTTAGAGGAGGGGTCCATAAACTTCTTTTGCAATGGGCTAGGTAGTAAATATGTACTGTGGGTCATACGGACTCTGCCACAACTTTGCAATTAGAGTACAAAAGCAGCCAGAGACAATACCAATAGGAAATGTGTAAACAAATTAGCATAGCTGTCTTCCAATAAAACTTTACTTACAAAAACTGATAGCAGGCCAGATTTGGCCCTTGGGTCCTTTGCAAACCCCTGACTTAGAGTAACCCTGTCGTGAGTCTTTTTGCAGGCTTCAAAACAAACAAACAAAAAAACCCCAAACACTCTTTGTTATGGAACTAGGTTCTCAGTAATGGATGTCTTGATTTTTGAATTTTCACATTTGGAAATATTTTAAAGTGGGATGTAACTATTTGTAACATCTTGATTAGACAAAAAGGAGGTTAGGTATATACGTGGATTGAACAAAAGCATTTCACCCAGTTGGTTTGTTGCTAGGATAAAAATGGCAAATGTTATCAATTCTTGTGCTTCGGGCATTGCCCAGTTGCCAGCTAGTAGCTCACTGAGGTTCTCCTGGCCCAGCCTTGCACAGTGGCCAGGAGCATCAAGGACTTTCTCCCCCTCTAAACCATCTGGTTTATGGGTCACTATAAGAAACATTGTATACATTGTACTAGAAATGACTCGTTCCACTTTCATCTCTTTTGCCACATGCTGTGTTTTGTTTCTAAAATAGAGTATGACTATTGGTTAATATTTATATAAAATACTGTTGAGGTGGAATTGATTAGGAAGGCAAGAACATCCAAGCAAGTGCATCTGACCACTGTTTGTTTTCTTTTCACAGTGGCACATTTCAGTACACCCTGGAAGCCACCAAATCTCTCCGTCAGAAGCAGGGGGAGGGCCCCATGACCTACCTCAACAAAGGACAATTCTATGCCATAACACTCAGCGAGACTGGAGACAACAAATGCTTCAGACACCCAATCAGCAAAGTCAGGGTACGGGCCCCATTCCTACCTCACAGCCTTTGTGGAACGGTACAGAAGAAAATTCCAAAATAAAAGATTCTAGAACAAATGTCAGAGGGTTGGAGCAAGTGAACTTATTGGCTTGTTGTTTATCATTTTAATCAGTAACCAATAAACCCCAGGGAGGGGACATGTTTGGAACATGCTTTCTGACTGTATCCCAGGAATTTTTTTTTTTTTTTTTTTTGCTTCATTTATTGCCTATGTGTTACCTCGTTGTTTTTCATCAACTGATCTTAATTTT